TACTCCTATTAATGTCGGTTACTCTTCGATGAGGACCATCCTAGTACCCAACATCCGTTAACGGACTTAGTATTCTGTATAAAGGCTCTCAGGTTTGCCCTATCCTTCAAGTTTCTCACTTTCGCAGATATTTTTCAGTGTTTTACTGTCCGGTACACAGGATCAGACAACGTTTCTGGCCTAATTTTGCCTTTTTACTTGCAATACTCGGTCGTAGGTCGCTCTTCGTTTAAAGTTTGGGCTCAGTTCCAGTGTCGGTTCGATTGACTTAACTCTGAGTAAGATGTAGCCAGCCCCAATTCTCCCGGAGATCCCAAGCAGGGTTTTGCACTTGCCATAGTCGTGGAAAAAGCAAGTAGTTAGGGGCCCGCTGATAACGTTCACAAATCCATTAAACGGTCGAGTTATTCTCCGATTTCTGGCTATCTTATCACTTCGGCGACAGAGGAAGGTCAAGTGGGTCTCGTTGACAAACGTTTGCTTCATGTGCGTTTTTCTTGCTGTTTGAAATCGCATATCTGGCACACCTTGCATTCTTGGGTGCGTTGAAGGCGAGTATTAATTGTGTGTGTTGGTTCTAATATCTAATACTTACACCTTCTTGCATTGCTTTTAGACAAGCCGCCCTCGAAAGCTGATCGTGACCAACGAAGAAGCGAATACAGCTCTTACCGGTCCTTGAAACAGCGCCTCTTTATTATTGAAAAAATGATAGAGTCCCCGGAATTATCGGCCGAAGAACTGGCCACTCTTGCTCAACCGATCGGCCGCTGCCATAGAAGAAAACTTTCCAATGGTGTCCTGGCACATACTGTTAGTAACTCCTCCGTCTCTCAGCCAACTGCCTACAAGGATGAGTGCTTAAAATCGCTTGAGTGTCCACAAATTCACCCGAAGTCTGATTGCTATTCAGCAACCTCTTCTCCATCTTCCTTCCTACCTTGATTTATTCCCATTTTACAAACTCGATTCTTTGACATGATCCGACTAATATGTCCAGCCCCGCGTTTGCTTTGTCTTTCTTTTGGGGACGCCGATTGTTCCCTGATTTTTACTACGATAATTTCTATGTCATTGCATTTCAATTTAATTATTTGCATTTATTTTACTGACAACTAGTTGTACTTGTTGGTGCGTTTTACTGCTTTGCTCCTTTGTGCATTAAGGTTATCGCTTTAATAAACTACAAACGTATCTCTACATATAATCGTAGACGCCTGATATTTGTCTTCCCCGCGTTCTCATCCGTATCATTAGTCTGGCGTCCCGTGGAGCACTTGTTGGACATAAGCATGTATACACTAAAACGTTCACGTATAAGTACGGTCAACGTTTGATTACACCCCCTCTACCTCCCATGGACTCTTGACTATACAACATGATCTGACTAGGCGGCATTTGAACCACCTCGTTTATTCTAGCTTCTCGGTGAAGCAGCGGCTTCCACCCTATATCATGTGAGTACTGGTAGCGGGGAGCGACATGTCGATTTGCCAGAGGGAACATAAAGTCGTAATATTGGCAGGCTCAATATTGAGGCCAGAAGTTTATTCAAGACTAAAGCAGTAGCTTGGGTTAGGCTAACGAAGACTTAGTGGTCGCATTTATCGCTCATTTAGGCATCGTGGTAATTAATTTAAATAAGCTCAAAGGCTGGAAAAAGAAGCACGCGAAGTATTATCGCGGGGCTTAGGTGCTTTGTCTGAGAATAATTTTATGGTTGGTTATCTTACCAGACATTTCATCCGGAAGACTTCCTCTGATTATACGGTCTTACTCTGTACCTCTGTTACACAGGGTTGAGTTCGATCATTACCCAAATTGCATGGTTAGACTATAAACCTGCCGTCAGTAATAAGCAAATATTGAACAGTTTGAGAAGTAATACCACACTCCCCACTGTTGGCTATTCGTTTTGTGACTTCCATAAATAAGCTGGTACTTGCTCTATATCGGCTCCAATTGCAAATAACACAGCGCAGATTTCCCATGCCGTTTTATTATTTACGTCAGATAATATTTCCAATCTAGATTTTCGTTTGGTTCGCCACCGCACTGACTAAATTACTCCATACATTTTTACATCAGAGCCCTTTCTTTGAGTGATATCAAAAAGATTATATTTTCGATGCACCTTAGCAGCGAATGTCCTCTGCTTTCACATGCTGTATAAATTCGAATACTGAGGAAACCGACACTCGTAACCGGTGTCCAATTTCAGAACTTTGAGTGTTCCCGTATTATGGTTTTGCAGGAATAGATGCGGTTTCAGAAAACAAAAGGTAATTAAATTAATTCTGTAATCAAATTGTTAACTCAATACATTATGGATTAAGCAGCCTGGAGAGTCCGAAGACAATTTAACTTTTCGGGAACGCCAACGCCTAGTTGTCCTTGGAGAACATATGCACTATGAGATCGACCACACGGCAACTGTAACCGTATTCATTATCGTACCATGAGATCAGTTTGCAGAAAGTGTCATTTAGTGAAAGACCGGCTTTTGCGTCAAATGTGGAAGAGGCTGTACTGGTTCGGAAGTCCATGCTCACTACTTCGTCGTCTGTGTATGCAAGAATTCCCTTTAGGCCAGGACTTTGAGATGCGGCCTTAACAGCCTCTTTGATTTGGTCGTAAGTGGCCGGTTTTGCCAATTTGCATGTTAGATCCACTACAGAAACATCCGGACAGGGAACTCGGAAGGCCATTCCAGTCAATTTTCCATTTAATTCAGGGATAACCTTTCCAACTGCCTTTGCTGCACCAGTCGCTGCAGGAATTATGTTTTGGGCGGCACCTCTTCCATCACGCCAGCCTTTTGCATTTGGTCCATCAACAATTTTCTGTGTAGCAGTATACGAATGGATTGTTGTCATTAGGCCTTCAACCATTCCGAAATTCTCATGAATTACTTTAGCTAGAGGGGCTAGGCAGTTCGTTGTGCATGAGGCGTTTGAAACGACGGTCATTGATGGATCATACTTTTCTAGGTTGACACCACAAACAAACATGGGAGCATCCGACGACGGAGCACTAATGATAACCTTTTTGGCTCTGTTATTTTTCAGGTGAACCTACAACATAGTCTTAAAAATAGTAACATACCGAGGCCTTGTCCACAGTCGTGTTTATACCAGTCGATTCCACAACGTAGTATGCACCGTCTTTGTCCCAGGGAATAGCTTCGGCGTTAAGCTCCTTATAAACAGAAATTCGATGTCCATTGATGACGAGCTTCCCATCGCTCATTGACACGTCTCCGGTGAATGGTCCGTGAGTTGAATCATACTTAAACATATAAACCATGTATTTCAATTCAATGAAAGGATCATTAACGGCTACGACATCGATTGTACCCTTGCACATAGCCGCACGCAAAACAAGACGACCGATTCGGCCAAAGCCATTGATACCGACTTTAGCCTTGCTCATCCTAGGTGATAAAAGTGATAAGTGAGGAGAGTAATGCGCTACCGTGAGGTTATAACTTGGATATCCACGCATTAAAACAAAAGCTCCTCGTCATGACCTTCGGGATCACATAAAATATTTTTTTTATAATAGCTGATGATTGCTGAGATAAATTTGAGAGTTTTCTCCATTTGAGCATGTTACAGTTAGAGAATAAATGTGATTTACGAAGGCTGGAGGCCTACTGGGTTACTGGTTAAGGGGTCCTGGCGTCAGCGTCAGCAATTCCAAATGAACGAGTTGACCACGATGTGGATCTCCGTAAATTTTATGCTGAGAAGTTGCTAAAGGAGGGCGAGTCATTCCACATTCTCAAGGCATATCAAATAAGGAAGGCTGCAATAACACCAGGGTTAAATACTCTGCCAGGATCTCTTAAAATTATTTTAAAAAGTGAAGCACAGGCACAGCTATTACTTAAGAGAAAACCATTTTTACGGAGTGTGCATTTAGAACCTTCTTTTAGACGGATAACGAGCTGAAGGAGCGAATAATAATGCAACAGTTAATATCAGAACTGGAATAATGGAGGACCAACGGCGAAAGCCATCTCAACATAAAAGACTTGCAGATAAATGAAGTCAAAAGAACATTCCTTTGGACAGAGGCAGTCACTGTGACAGCCTAGCTGCGCTGCTTCAGAGACCAAAGATATTTCCGTTTAAAATATTCGATTTAAATATAAGAGCTCTGCTTAATAAGTTGCGTCGACTGCAGACTCCAGTTTTATTCCACCGTACAGATATTGTCATAGTAATATAGACGTGGACAACACTCAGCACAGCTGATTCCGAATTTTTTTCTTTTAGGCTAAGCCTGCATTAGGAAAGATCGACACGATGGCCGTGGCGGAGGCAGCTGTGTGGTGACTCACTTCACATATGCGAGCATGTCCGAAGCCTTGCTTCCGCTAACGCGTACGTCTGCACTTAAAGGCGCCTCCGGCAACAGCCAATCAGGTCCCTCAAAAGCTAGCCTCTCACAGTGGCGAATAGGGTCGCAAGCACGCCTTGGTCGATGCAGTCTTTCCGGCCAATAACCTTTGAGGCAACCAGATAATGCCGTTCTCGCTGCTGCCTGCTGCTGAAAACCGAACTTGAACTGCAGCTAGCTCTCCTGCCGGTTGTAGGCTATCCAAGTCAATCTACTCTCATCCATTCTCCTCTTCTTTGTGTACACAATACATTCTTCCTACTACTCTGGCTTTACGGACTTCTCTTCTGCAGTAAGTAGCCATGGTTTGAAGATCGTAGTTGCTGGTTTTAACTCCCTTAACCCCCTGCGATAGCTGCAACCACTTTCATCTGGCGTTGGAATATCCACAATTTCTGCAAATATTCCCATTC